TCAATCGTTGCAGCAGTACAGACACGTTCAGCGACGAGGCAGTCAGCTTCGAATAACTCCTCGACAAAAATGGCACCATTACAAACAACAGAAAAAACGATGTCTCTCGACACCACTAATCATGGGCTTCGATTTTCTAGGTGTTTGGTGACTATGTATGTAGTTTGAGATTCTAAACATACCTGATGATGATCCTCTAGCAGGGATCGAAACGCGTCGTATGGTGCTTTGAATCTTATCTTTCTATTGGAAACTCAACCTCACTCTCAACAGAGGTTAGAAAGTCTGGTTTTTGAATATCGTGATTTTCGGGGCTTCTAGGGGGAAAAATGTTAAAACTCGAAACTACATTTTCTTTCAAAACGGCTTGCGCTGAAGTTCATGGAAATGTTGCCTCTACAAACCTATATCAAATTGAGCAAGTTCGGTCGTGGCTTACATGGACTGGCGCATATATACAAATATTTGTAAAAGTTTCAAAGAGTTTGCTTGCTGTTGAACGCGAGAACGATGAATTTCAAAATCGTTTCAGAATTTCAATGATTTATGGAAAAATGAAATTGTCTATCTGTCAAGTGTTAGTTTTATTTCTGAACACAAACATGTCATACTTAGTACACATTAAAATATTCGAAATAGACAGTTGTTTAATAATGTTAACTGAAATGAATTCATTATGTTTCGTTTTTCGAATCACACACAGTCAAAATAAAAAAATCACGAATTTATTTCATTAGTAAAAAAATCTTAATCTAAACTCACGTCGATCAATTCGGTCTGTGTCGTTCGATCTGCGTAGTTATTTCGAAACGCTCTCATCAAACAAGGAGAAGAAAGGTGTCAAACGAGTTTTGAGTCTTTGAACTATTGCTAGGAGAAATTGACGAATGAGCTAACAAGTATTTGTGTCTGATTCATGTTAATCAAGAATTTCGCCATTGAAAAAGTATTGAAATAGAATCATAAAGTAAATTATACACAGAACCGACATCTGTTCGTACTGTAAGATGTGTATAACGATCTATTGTATAATTTGATGTATTCGGGCATAAAGTAACAAGGGGTCCAGTAAATTTCGAGGTGTCTTCATTAAAAATCCATTGATCAAGTAGCTCTGACCGCAATGGCAGAATTCTGTAGAAAGAGTCGGGATGACGATCAAACTTGAAACAAATAACAGCATCATTCGTATGACATTGTGGCGGTTCGTCAAAATTGACCTGTTCCAATTTTTTTGATATAAAATTGATATCTTTTAAACTTGCAGCCAAAAGACGTGCTTCAAATTGGTTGATTACTGAATCTTGAAAAGCAGCTACATAAACAAATGATAGATTTCGATGCCATTTGACATCTTGTCCACAATTGACAGCATAGGCAGAAGTAACGGATAATTCCACTTTTGCTTGAATATCTTCCAATGACGTACAGTTGTTCATGTGCTCGAGAAATTCGTCAAGTTTAGCAAATACCAAAACATAATTTCGACTACATTCAAATGCTAAAATGACGGCTGATTGATATAGTGGATGTTTTACTTCTTCGTTGAAAGAGACTTCAATATGAAGATTTGGATCTTCATCTTTGAGTTGCCGAACAAATTCGAACGAATACAGCAATGCTTCACAAGAATCGATATAGATATGGAGGTTTGTGACCGAGCCCAGCAGCTCACGAAGACACTCTTTAATAAGATTTTTGGGGTATTTTTGCGTACTGGTACCGTCGTTCTTCCAAAAACCACCAACATGTTCTTCAATCAGCTGCCGAACATTAGAACAAGTGACAGCTTCAATACTATTTTGAGTAATAAATGAGCTTAAATTTAAATATTCAACAGCTGAGAAAGATCTCCATTTTAAGCCAAACAGTCCTGACATAGGATCGTCAAAATCGTGTCGAATGTGGTTAGAAAATGTACCATCCAGTAGTGTTGAAATCATGCGAATATCAAGCCAACCCGTTGATCCGATGCTTGGGGGAGAAAAAGTCTTTATTCCTTCAGGCAATATTGACTTTAATTGTACATGCTTCTTCGGCTGTTCTTGGAATTTAGGTATGCAATAACCCACGGATGTTGTTCGGGCTTGGACGAATGTCACCTTGTTTGATGTAATGACCGGGATAATGTGTTTCAGTTCGAGCCACTTC